AAAATATTTTCCTCCCCAACCCGCCACGTCAGCATTTTCCATGTTTTTGAGGAAAAAAATTTCCCACCTTTATGGTGAGAAAATTTTTTCCAGCCGGCTGCTAAAAAAAATTTTTTTTTTTTTTGGCAATGGAAACAAATATCATAACCAATTGTAAAAAAAAATTCACTTTAATGGACAATTTCCATGTAAAACAAAGTCAAACGAGCACTAAACTTTGATGAAAAAAATGATTTTTTAGAAAACAATTTTTTTTTCCTTTTTTTTTTTTACTTTTTGGTAATGGAAACAAATTTTATAACCAATTGTGAAAAAAAAATCACTTTCATAGACAATTTCCATGTAACATAAAGCCAAACGAATAGAAAATTTAAAAATTTTCCGGGTGGAAAATTATACAAATCAAATACATTTGAAATCATTTTCTCTGCAAAATATTTTCTAGGCAAAACTTTTCCCTGTAAAACATTTTCTTTCCACCAATTTTCCACCTTTGCAATCAAACGCACCCTAAATGCCTAATCGGAGGTAATAAATATTAGTTCTATTTGTCTATGTTGACAAGTGATCGGAGAATTGTGAATTAGATGGGACTGCATCATTTTAAATGAGAAAAAATGTTAAACATAACGTCTACTTTATACCAAATACGTACCATATGTAGAAGATTATGATTCCGATTTGTTGTAGAACAATGCTACACACAGCTCGGCTCACAGCACGGTTGATAGTCCTCTCACATTCAGGGGCGGGGTCTGCAATTAAAATAATCACGGGCCCCACGACTTTGTGAGAAGGCAGTAGCAAACAGCATTTTTGTTTTTTGTATAGAGTCCGAGTCCAAATCTGTTGTCTAACAAAAATGAGAAAACGGGTCTTGACTCAATCTATTCTTATTTTCTTAGCTTCAATAATCTAGTGGTATGCATTTCATGTTCAAATTTTTTAGTTTTCAAACAAATCAAGAGAAATTTCTTAAAATAAATCTTGGGTAAAAAGAGAGAGAGAGCTTGTATAAACTAGAGTGAAGTCACGATTGTTGGGATGGGACACAAGTCGGACACCAATCCTTGTTTTGAAGAGAGAGAGAGAGAAGGAAAGTTGTTTTATTTCTTATAAGGTATATTTTGGTGCACATTAAAATGAAAGAATTCATTTTTTTGAAGTGATGTGATGAAAAATATGTGGTTGAAAATGAAAGAAAAGTTGTTAATGTGATGGAAAATATTATTTTATTGAAGAATATGTGGTTGAAAATGAGTAAAAGAATGAGAATGAAAAAAATAATGTGGGTCAAACAGGGACTTAGTGAAAATCGCATTTCGTCGATGTTATTAAGGTATAGCAACATCAGATAATTAATAAAATATTTTGACGCATGGATTAAATAATTTTAGTGGAAACTAATATTGTTTTGTTAATTTCTAATTTCGAAGTTTGTAACATTCTTTAATTAATGACATACAAATTAATTCCAAAATGAAAATTGGGTTGGATTTCTCTATTTCTCTATAACTTGTCAACATAGAACAAAATTAGAGAGCAAAGAAGGTGATGGAAGAGGGGAAGGGGAGTTATTTTATTTCTTATAAGGTATATTTAGTGAAATTCGCATTTTGTCATTATTTTCTATCCTCGAACTCGCATTTCATCAATGTTATTGAGGTATAGTAGCATCAAATAATATGAAGAATTATCGCTTGCTAAAGTGTATGTAATATTTAATTCTTGGATCTGTCCTAGTTAATAAAATATTTTGATGCATAAATTATAATTTTAGTGCAAACTAATTTTATTTTGTGAATTTCTAATACATAAGTTTATAAGATTCTTTAATTAATGGCACACTAATTAATTCCAAAGTGAAAATTGGGTTGGATTTCTCTATATTGGAAGTAGGAAGGAAGGTTAAAAAGGTGAAAAGAAAAAAATGAATATATTTTCACATTCATTCTCTAATGACTTATTGATTATACGTTAATATAGCTCTTGTTTGTTTTTTATTTTATTTTTTAAGAGATGAATGGTTGATAAGCGCAACACATGAAAAGTGACGGTGCCTATTCAAAAGGAGTTATTATCAAATGCCTTATTATAAAGGTAATGAACTTTAGTACTATTTTCTACATCGACAAGTAACTCGAGAATTGTGATATATATAGGACTATAACATATTAAATAAGATTTTTTTTTAAAAAATAATGTTTATTATATAAAAAATGTGAACCTTGTACAAGATTTTGTGTTTTGTAAAGTTTTGAGTCCAAATTGCTTTCTCATTTTTGTTATTCTTTTGGCTGTCTTCCCATTCAAATTTTGATACCTAACAATTGGAGCGGGGTGTCAAGATTTAGTTGGGGAGAATAAATTTTTTGAAAAATGAGTAACTCAAGGAGAAAATTGAGGGCATGTCTGGGCCAAATTTTCTTCCTGATTTTAATTCATTTTTTTACCATTGCACAACACAACGATCCAAAAATCAAAGAAAGCTTCAACCTTTTCTCTCACATGTGTCAGACCAAAACGGACCAAAAATCAATTTTTCCTTTTCACAATCTGCACCAGACAGTCACTGAATATGTGCTACAAAAATACACTGATTAGGATCTTCACGGTCCTAATCGAAATGAGAAGAAGAAGGCACCAGAGCTTTCTAAATTATTTAGTGTACGAATTAAGTAAATTTAGTGCAAATTAATTTCATTTGATTAGTTTTTAAGTTCGTAAAGTTGAATTAATTCATTATAAAAAGGTGCAAAGAAATAGATGAACAAATTCACATTCATTCATTCTCAAATGACTTATTTGTAAAAGAGATAATTCATTTATTCTTAATTGACAAAAAAAATTATTTATTACAATTCACATATTTACTTATAAGTAAAAAATTTCATGCTTACGGTTTGTACGTGATTTATAATATTTGAATTTAGCATATATCCAAATAGCTTCATTATAATCGAGCACAGTACAAAATCAAACCCTAAGTCTGACTCGACCCGGCCCAATAAAGAACGGTCCATATTTCTTAAATCATCAATCTGCGCCGTTAATTTCTTTCAAAGAAACAAAACGGTAAATAAATTCAAATTTCAAATCTACGCCTCCAACGGTCATATTTTCAGAGGGTTTCTCTACAAGCTACATGCGTATATATACCCCCACAATCCTTCATAGCCGCTCCATTCTTCATTCAGAGGAAAACCCATAACAAAAAATTCTCTTTACGAGAAAATCTTCACAAATTTGCAATAAACTTTCAATTTCAATCGTTTAGCAATGGATTTCCACAGCCTTGCAAGAAGAGAACTCCAGGCTCTCTGCAAGAAGAACAAGATCCCGGCTAACATTACTAATGTCGCCATGGCAGATGCTCTTAAAGCTCTTGAGACCGTAAGTTTTCTGGGATTTCTGAATCTTTGATTTCTTGATCTCGTGTCATATTTGTTTATTTATTTTTATTTAATTGCACTGTATTAATTCCTGCATGTGTTAGTTGCAAAGAATCAATTGGATTATATCTCCCAGTTGATATAGAAGTGAATAGAACGGGGAAGAAATATTCATGTATACGTTGTATCACTGTATAAACCTCGAAGATTCTCCAGATCTTGTTATTTTCAAGTATGATTGTTTTATTTAATCTATTATAATGGAAAGCCTAAAGAGAGTGTGTTGTCTGAATGGCAAAGAACGATGCACGTAGCCGACCCCAAAATTATAGGTTAATTGTCATTTGTTCGCTGTATTAATCTTGAAGATCTCCAGATTTTGTGTTTACTCTATTACAATAGAAACCCTGAATGGAGTGTGGTTTTTGAAAACTCAAATTGATAAACGTAGTGTTTTGATTGACAAATCTGTAAATTATTGGCATGATAGGTTGAAGGGATTGAAGAATATTTGAAACCAATGGAATTGGAAACCGCTCAATCATCAATTGATTCTCCGGTGAAGTCAGAAGAAAGATCTCCACGTGTGCTTTCTACCGTTGGGAGGAGTACACGTAGGAGAAATGTTGTTAGAGAGGAGCCCGAAACTTTGCCTTCAAGGACTACTCCATGGCGTTCAACAAGAAAGGCAGTTGTCGGAGACGAGGGCGAAAAGGGGGTTACGATTGAAACTCCGGCATTGGCAGCGACCACTAGAAGGAGGGCTCAGGTGTCAGTGGTTCGGAGAAAAGTGGAGACTCAATTTGAAGAGGAAATTGGAAAAGAAAAAAAGACTGTTCCACCAACCCCTGCTCCATTAGGTACTACTAGCCGGAGAAAGGTAAAGGAAGAAATGAGTACAGTGAAAAAAGTGTATAGCACGCGCAGATCAGTAAGGTTGGCTGAGAAAAGCGTGGAGATATTGAAGTCCAACGATGAAGAAAAATTGGAAACTCTTAAGCAAGAATTATTTACGAAGGAAATAGGTGATAATTTGGATGTGAGTCTGAAACATGGATCAGATGATTCGGATAAAGTTTTGGATATCGGAGGTATTTTTCTCAACTTGTTCAAGAATCATTGCCTCTTATAATCTCAAGATTTGTTTTCTCAATCATCAATAACTTTCTACGATTGCAGGTGTTGATACTAAAGCAATGGCACAGGATAATTCGGAAAGCGAAAAGATTTCTGAAGTCGAGGATCCAAAATTTTCGTTGGAGGGTATTAAAAACATGGAAAATCAATTAGAATTGATCAATGAAATCCAAGAAAATAATGGTATGCTTACAGACGATTTTTTCATTTTACTTTATGAGGCTGAGAATGCACTTGACTTTTGTGTTGGGCTGTGTCCTTTATGCTTTGCTGAATTCATTTATGTTAGGATAGATGTCCAGTTATCCGGTTAACGTCTTTATGAAATTGATTTTTGTTGCCTTCTGTACATCTGGATGATTTGCAGATGATGAAATTTCTTGTGATACTGACAGTCAAAATGCAACAGAGAAAGAAATTGAGAATGCAGAAGATATGGAACTCGAAGTTTCCCTAGACGTCTTAGTTGACGAAAATTCTTGTGATATTGATTCCGAAAAGAAGTCTGAGAAGGAACTGAAGGATGAAATGGATTCCGAAGTTTTTTCACATTACTTGTCTAATGAAACAAAGTCTGAATTGAATGTTGTTGATTTGGTAACACCTGCTGCTGATATTGTGGGTGAAGGAAGTGGGATTGATATGGTGAAAGATGTTGAAATGGGGCTAGCTTCCAATGATTCAGAAGCCGATTTCGAGCTCACTGATAATGGAGAGGATCTCGACTCGCCCGAAATTCTTCAACACGAACAAAGTGAGCAAGATGCTGATCAAGTGTCTTTATCTTCTGTCGAGTCCCTTGGAGAAGTATCAAGTGATAAGGTAGAACCTAATTTCGATTTCATTGATGATTCGACCTTCCCTAGACAGATAGGGGAGAGGAGTGAGTCGATTGAAATTCTTGAATCTGAGCAAAGCAAGCAAGAGAGTGATCAAGTAGTTAGTGATATTCCTTTGTCGACTCTAATCCCAACTGCTGATCCCACCGAGGAAGTTCAATCTACCAGTCTTACGCCGACGAAGACGCCAATCAAGAAATCACTGAGCAAGAAAACACCTAAAACGATGAAAAAGGTACCTGATGTTTTGGATAATAAAGAGAACATTGGCAGCGGCAGTAAATTTTTCATTTTCACACAGGAGAAGGTGAAGACTCCAATTAAGACACCAACGACGAATAAAAAAATGACTGATGCTACAGATAACAAAGAGAATCTTAGTGGCAAAAAATTGATTCTTCTCACCAAGGAGAAGGTGAAGAAAACTGGCACAACTACTGAACAGAATTTGCATGAATTAAGTCTGAGAAAACTGACAAAGATGTTCAAAGAGAAACTACAGATAACGAATCAGTCCAGCAAAAATGAGAACGACCCTAAGGTGATCCCTTGATTCTTTTCTTGTTCTTGTTATGGCTTTGTGTTTAGTAAGATGAACCGGTCCATTACATCTCAATATTGTACTGTATTGTCTATTAGAGTGCTGCATACCAACACGCACTAATCTTTTATTGTTTGACAAGCAGGAAGCAACATTGAGGCCAGCTCTTCAAGCACTTCCTGAGAACCAATTGGTGGATGAAGCCCAGAACTGAATCAAAATGCTCTTCAAACTTCATGAGATTGAGTTTTGAACCATCTTGGAAAACTCCAGCTAAGATGAAAAAAAAATTCAATTTTTTTTTTTTTCAAGTATTGTAATAAGTTGCTGATATGCTCTTCAAACTTGAGTTGTGTCATTACCTCTTTGGTAATATTCCATCTTTTTATTTTCCTCAATGATATCGAACAGTTACGAAATTTCAGTGTTTCCACCATTTCTTCTTAATTGTTCACACAGCGATTTCACAACTGATGACCGCTTGCTCACACACTTAACTAAGTTCTTATTCTAAAGACAAACGTAAACAGTGTCATCTATCTGCACGCGCTTGAATGATCATAAATTTTAAAGGAATTGTCTGATCTTCAGAATTTTTATCTGCTCTGAAAATGACCTGCTTTATCTGAATGTGGCTAGTTATTAAGAAATATAGTATTCTGTGCATAGAAATGTTCTACAAAAACTTCAGCTGTGTAAACCTTTTCTTTTACCAACTTCAACAATTCAACTAGAATTTGGTATGAAATCCAAGGAAAGTTGTATCAAATATCGTGTGCCTAACTCAAATAAGTTGGTGAACTAACATCGAAGCAAGCGACAAAAGCTCATTTGAATTGTGTCTGCGAAATTCCTTATTAGATAAAAAATTCAACTCTCATGGACCCAATCTCACACTTAGTCTCCCCCGCGAAAGGAGGCTAAAAGTACAATAGAGATGTTTGTGAAGATACTAATTTATTTGTGCTCGAAGGAACGTGTAAAAGTACACAGGTTTTATAGTATGAGGTAAGATTGGCTCCATTTCAAGCTTTCTCATGCAACAGAACTTTCAACAAGAATTCACATAATATCAAATGATCATATTATTTACAGTAACAGCCTAACTCAATTATGAACAAATAAATGAATGCTGGCCAAGCATCATTCTACCTGACTCTTGACTAATGAAACATTGCCAATAGATGGCTAAGATCAAAAGCCATCTGAAACCGATCTTGTTCCACCACATTTTGTTGTCTATCTACTTTCTGAACTTTTTCTGTCTCTACCCAAATGTTCATATGAGATTCTTTACATTCTGACCTCAACTACGTCACCATCCCTGAGCTCTGTGTTGGGCAATACCAGCTGCCCATTCACTGAAACTAGTTTTCCGTCAAATCCTATCCTTCTAGCAGCATCAGCAGCCGTGCTCCCAGTTCTCAATCTCATTATCTCCCCATGGGGCCAACATACAATCGCCACTTCATCAAGAGAAACTGAGTCTCCATTCACGTACTTCCTTGCACCAAGGTTAAGTTGTCGAAGCCCAGCTTCGGAGCGCAGTTGCTCTTCCCATTGAAGCATTGTCCTCAACAGCTGCACCTGGTATCCGCCAAAAAAATTAAAACAAGAACTCAGATCTTAAAATAATTTACTTACCAGTAAGTACGGTTTTAAATAAATACCTTTTTTTATTGGTTGAAGTTAAAATAAAGACTTCAATATCTTCATTGCTTGATTCTTCTCAAGTTCTTTGAATTAAATTTCTCATCCAATACATTTTTCCTAGGGAGTTATTACCAATGTATAAAATAAAATCAGTGTTCCAAGAGCCAATCTAGCTCTCACATTGATAAGTGATTATTTAAATGCACAATCATATTGAATAAAATAAAACATAAGGAGTCCTGGATGGCAATAATTATTAAAATCCTAATACTCCCTCCGTCCATGAAGATAGACTTGCTTTTTATCTTTGTTTGTCCCAAATTATAGGCCATTTTCCTAGTTAAGAGTATAATTGATTTCTTAATTTTCTAATATGCCCCTATGTAATGTGCCTTTTTATTTACTAATATGAACAGCTTTTATTTAAATCGTTATTCAATATAGGAGTATTAAAAAATATATAAGTAAAATTTATTGTTTTAACTATATTAATTACATTTTCTTAATCTGTGTGAAAATGAAAGCAAGTCTATCTTTGTGGAATGGAGGGAGTATAATTTTTACAGGAGCCATGATCACCCCTTAATGCAGATGAAAGCAAAGTTAAAGCTTCAATCCTTCAAGCAAGAAAGCTTGTTAATGCTCAAAAAGAAATCCAGCCAATATAATTTCAGCTAATCCAACTCCTAACAACTATGCTAGTCAGGAAGCATAGAATGATTTATCATCATCAAGTAATCAAGGAATGAACTTCAATAGCCTGAATTAGCCCCAAATATACCTTATTGTTGATGCCATTGTCCACCAGAGTTGAGTTGGAGTTGAAAATAGACCTCTCCTCATAAATTGAGTTGGATACATCAGAAGTAATAGTTTTGCCCTCAAAAACAGCCGAGACAACATCCCAGTATTCAGTTTCTTCCCGTTCTGTCAACTCAATGACTTGGATAAATGTTGGCAATAGTCGTTGAAATTGATCTTGCTGTGCAGCAATAATAATCTAAGTGCATTTCTTGAAGCAGCCAGCATATAATATGATAACAATCATAAGAAAAGAAAGCATGGGAAAAAGGAGGAAAGGGTGGCAAACATACCTTGTGGTATATACCATCTCGACAAAGGGTATACTTTTCCAAGCAGGTACACCAATCCCCGTGTCCCGGTTGGCACCACCACTCATCGGAAACCTAAAACCCATTTTGGCAGATGGTCCAATTATAAAGAACAAACAAAATCAATCAAATCTACCGTTCTAATGAATTTCTCCGAAAAATTTCAGATAATTCAAATTGTATCAGCCGAATGGAATGTAGTCGTGAGCAAAATTGTTTCTTCTCTTATTTAAAAAAGGGAAGTTGGTCCATCATATAATTTGTACCCGTACTAAAGAATGAGAAAATAACACAACGGAAACAACAAAAGAAACTTCTGAAATACGAAATACTTGGGCATAAATTGTGTCCAATAGAATTTGAACCTACACCAAAGGCTTAGAAGGCCACTGTCATATCCATTAAAAAATGGATATTTCCAGAATATCATGTTTTGACTTTCCCATCACTTCAATCGCATTACACTATCAGAACATGTATATTGTTTATTCTTTTATTTCTTAATTAGTATTCATTTACGAGGTTTTATTAATTGCTGGCTGCGGCATATTCATACTCGTTCTTTTCATTTCTTAATACTTGTTTTTATCAAGGCACTTCATTCTTCTCTTACAGTTTGGATTTGGGGGGTGACAAACCATTATCTTCAATCGGCAAAGTTCTGAAAGAATTGCACAATATTTTTTTTGAAGCTTTGTCCTAATGATAATAGATATACTTTTCATTTAATCAAGCTTTCTCCTGGTTAGTTCTGAAACCTTCTCTCCATTAAATGAGAAAGTAAACAACTGCTAATACCTTTTTATATAAACTTGCATAAACTTCCCATCTTTTTATTTGGTAAGAAGATCTTCTGTCAACTACTGCCTCAGAAGCTGCTAGTCCAAAGCTTACAGCAACAAGCAATTCTCTTCCCTCGTTGTCAACTCTGGAAAATCAAACTTAAAACGTTAAACTCAGCAAATGTAAAAATTATGGTCACGGCAGATAAATTTTTTATGTGTTACCTGACAATAACTGCAGCAAGCAAGTGACCTGCTTCCACTCTGAGAACTGGATGTCCAGATTTCAATGCTCTATATTTTATGAATGGATCATTCTCAGCAGAACATTGATCTTCTATTTCGTTTGGGAAATCTGAGGAAACCATTATTTCAGAATCAACCACACTACTCTTGGAGGGCAATAGATTCTCAGTTTCCTTGTAAAGCCAATGTGCAGCAAGTCCGTGTTCAGCATATTCATGCATCCTCTAAAAATTCAAGATTGTTTTCAAATTAATTTAAATTAAAATCCAGAAACATGCAACTTTCACAGCTTATACAAATTTTGAAGCATTATATACCTGTGTTCGTATTTGAACTTCTAAAGGAGAGTTGTCAGGACCTTGTACTGCAGTATGCAGTGACTGAGATCATTGAAAGGCATCAGAATTGGGATACAAATCAGAATGATATTTTGCTCGAAAAACTTTTGTAAAAACACAACGAAAGAGCGCAAGAATAATGATAATAATTTGACCTGGTAGCCACTTGGTTTGGGGTTAACAATGTAATCGTCAAATTCACCATCAATAGGGGTCCAAAGTCTGCAAAGAGTAAAATCATTCATTATCAAGTTGGTATTACTGTTGATCCCATTACCATTTCAACTAGATGGAAGGTAAAGACTGATAGATCATAAAATTTCTGATTCACTTACCGGTGTATAATATTAAGGAGATTGTAACAACACTGAACTGCCTGTCCATGCAAAGTCCCGTTCTTATCTCCAACAATAACCCTCAGCGCACGGACATCATATACTTTGTTGATGCCAACGTCTTTTCTTTTCATCTATGGAGCAGTGAAATCAAAATCAGTGTTGTGAACAATAAAATATAACTTCTACGTCAAACCTAGCTCTCAAAATCAATAAAATATAAATCTCACTTGAAAATAGCATTTTTTTAACAGAAGAGAATCACTGATAATAAATTTTATCACAGAAGAGAATCATTGAAATGAAATCTTGACCTAAAACCTTCCAATATTGGGCGTTGAGTTTGTTATGTAAATATGCTCACTCTTAATCATATTCTTCCAATCTACTACAAATTTTTATTACATATGAACCGCAACCTGAAGTACTCAATTATGATGGCTTAACAGACAGAAATGTTTATCCAATGAGGACGGTACTGTGAATAAAACCTTCAAAATCTTGACAATAGTTGAACATCAGAGTTATGATAGTCACACACACTTGATTTCGAGGAACATTATACACCTTTAATCATTGCTTAGACATAAACATAGAATTTCATCTGTACCTTGCTATATACGCTGTACAAGCTTTTTAGGCGTCCAGATAAAGTAACTTCCATTCCTGGAATATAACTGCAAACATATGGTGGAAAGTTATGAACTCGTGTCAAGCTAACATGCTTTGCATGAAACTAGACTAATCAGAGTGCTTTAGTTATACAGAACCTACGATGTTGATATAAATAATTCCCGCTCAAGTGCTTCCTCACAAACAACAAGAGATGCTAGAGCAATGCCGGCATCCCTCACAACCTTTGGCTTTTTTGGTGTATCCGAACATGTCTCAAGATTCTTAAAAAAAATTGTACGTTTTTTCCTATCTGATAAGAGATCAAAAGGAAGTACAGCTTGCAAAAGAACCTGCAGATTTAGAAAATATGAGAACAAATCAATCCGTATCATGCCAATCGAAATTATCACAATAATATGTTGGTGGTCATAAAATATATAGAGGTCAGATTAGAAAATCAAAAGACCGAAAAAATATCACCTTTGAAAGTTTAAGAGAATTTTCATGTAGCTGTGGAGATACAGAAAGAGGATGAGAATCCTCTTTAGAATTAAAAAAAATGCTTACCATAGCACTTCCTTCAGTTACTTGACTTCGAAATTATCGCTAAACTGCTTACAGAGAACACAAAGCAAATAGGTTACTAATTATACTTTTACCTTCATGCTCAATTTTTCCTCCTCCCCTTCCTGAGGTTCTTCAAGTTCAGGATATCGTTCAACGGCACTGGATTTTGCAGATATTCTTCTCAGATTGCTTGCCTTGTTTGTGGGGCTCCACATGGAAGCCAGGTCAGCCCGAAGTTGGCGAAAAATTTTGGGCTGCAAGTTGGATGCATAAACAGCTATTACTAGAGAGTGTTGGTTCCACAAGCACCTGTGCATTGCAACTCTCTTCTTTCACAGTATCGTTCAATTCTCAATAACAAAGACTTTGGCGCACCTGAAGAACGGCAAAGCACAGGTCTTCAAGTTCAGCTTTTAGAGCCCACAAACCCAATCTGGAAGCAAGCGAGCACCAAATAGCTAATGTCTCCTCTGCTACAGCTTGAGCTTTGGCATAAGGAAGTGCATATCTGTAAAAGGGCCAATAACCAAATCGCATGAAACATGACCACCAATGTACTGTAGGATTTTCCAGACAATTGAAAGGCTAAAACCAAGTTTCCATGACAACAGGACAAATTGGAACGAGAGAACTAAAAATAAGGAAAAAGTGAAAGTAATAATAAACTCTTGAATTAGATATCATTAAGCCCTATTTGACAACCATTATTTGAAAACTATTTTCTCTACGTACTCATTTTCAACCACACATTCACACAATAAAATATTTTACAAGTAAACCTAAAACTTTTTCCTTACTTTTTAACCACACATCCTCCTAAAAAGCACCATTCAAAACATTTTTTTTTGACCAAAAAATGGCCATCAAACGGGGGCTAATTATTATTGTAACTAGGCATATCATCTCTGACGAAATACAACTAAAAATGACATTAAAGGAAGGTTAGAGTAAATACATTGTTCTCATATTATGAAGACGATCTGCAAGCTTTATAAGAACAACACGTGGATCATCAACCATGCCTAGCAGCATCACTCGCACATTATTTGCCTAGAAGAAAGATAGCATTATGAGACGTTATCAAGAACTATGAACATTTTCAATGCCTATTATACACAATAACATATTGTTCTCCATCAATCACATTCATGTGACTCCGATCATTTCGATTATTTATGGGTTATTTGATTATAAGAAATGTGAGAAAAACAGGGATATGTACATTCATGTTTATTTATGTGAATCAGGTAAAAAAAAAAAAAAAGAATCAAGTCGGTCAAAGAAATATAGCTTGAATGTCATTCTTAGCTACAGATAAAAATAAATAAAAGAAGCGTGCATCGAAGAAAGGAAAAGGAACAGAGTTATTAGCATATTCCCTATATATGCCTTCACTTTAATTTGATTAATACATGTTTAGTGAGGCAGGTATTCCACATCTTATGTGTATGTTTGGGAATTTTTTGGTTTTTCAGGTGGATTTAGTCCGTATTATAAAGGGAACTCTATCAAAAATTTTAAAAGTAATTGTAGTTATAGACTTATAGTAGGTCAAAGTTAGCCTTGATGGTGGTTACAGAGTCTAACTGACATCTACCATCGGCGCATGTCACATTTCGGTCCACTCGGGCGGGGTGATTCGAGTCAAGTTGTGTTAGTTTCAGCATTTTGAACGTCTCTAATTTTAAACTGAACATGAAACTTTGATTTCATTTGACTTCTTTATGGAAGATGAGTGAATCGTATATCTAAGATGTGGCCAACTCCCACCACTTCAGGGTGTTTCAGGCTTTAGTTGGTATTATAGGACACTTGTGAGAAACTCTAGAATGATTGCTAAGCCACTAACTTAACTTAAGTAGCTGTTTAACATTTAACATCTGGTTCCACAGTTTAGAACGACTTTTACACCTGTTTTGCATTTGAAAGTAACATTCTAGTCAAATGTTTATTAAATGGTAATAAAATAGTTTTAACTATAGACTAAATCACACAATGCTTTACTGCTTCAAAAAATAAATAAAAAATAAATAAAAATAAAAAAATTATATCGTAAGAAACCTACTTCTTTCTTGAAATATTATTAAAAAATTACTTCTCCTCATTAATACCCTTGTCATCCCTATGACTTCATGCTCTGATTTCCTTGAGCTTCTGCTAATTGCAGCACTTGTTCTTCCTGTCATTTGAAGTTTATGTTTCCCATGTTCCATTATTGCTGACAATGGTAACTTAACTTGACTATCGTCTATCTCTGCTCTCATTTTGATGTTCTAAACCATTCTTAGTCACTAAAGTTTTTGTCCTGTATTGTATGGATAAATAGGTTTTATTGTCTAAAGTATGGACCCAAAGCTGATTGGTGAACATGATATTGACTTGAATGCTTACCTCATCATGGCTGAGCGTTGCTTGACTCACATTCATTCTGCGGTGCCTCCGTAATAACTATAAAACAGGTATCCAGTCAATTTAATTAATGCTAAAGATTCATTAAAAAGGAAAGGGAAATGCAGTGCATAAATTTACAAGAACAATATTAAGACACGTACAAAGAAGTCAAAATCTAGTTATTTTCCCACTATCTTGGCAAGACGACCCCTAGATCTAGTTCAGAAAGTTTGTTATATTCTCACATGAGATCCACCACATGACAAATGAGCCATTCAAGCTCACTGTTTCAAAGTATGACCCCAGAGAATAATTGTTTTGTATTGCATGAGGTACCTGATTGATATAACTTAGTCTGGAAACTCCAGCTACCAACTTTGCAACATCAGCATCAAATTCTCTCTCTATGCTACCCAAACTTTCACATGTATCATCAACCACATCATGGAGGATTCCGGCCACAACTGTATCGATAGCCTACGTAAAAGCATTCATAAATTCACATGATGAATAAACGGGAATAAAAAATGAATTACTCACTGCAAATAGATGGAAATAAAAGATGAGTTACAAGAACACACAAAAATAAATGCTACAGTGGGCACCAATAATGTCTGATTATGTTGTATTTGCTCTTGTATTTTATAAGGTAAATTGCTTCTTTGAATCTTTCAATGGGAAGACATGATACAGACATCACAGACTTTAGTTGTTTGCACATGGAGCGTGTTCACTAAGCTTAAAATACAATAAAATACTATTTACGGAACTAAAAATCCCCACAAAGAGTAACTTCTAAAAATGCTCAAACATTTTTAACAAAAATATTTACTTAAAATTAACTTTTAAGCTTGGCTAGAAATGCTAATTGCCAATACTGAAAAGATAATTGCATCATTAAGTCATACGATGTACTCATGGATTAGGGTTGTTTACCTTTTTACCATTTGATGGAACTAACACAGCTACGATTTTTCCCGTGTGAATACAATGTGATACATAGGGGTCTCCTGTCTTCCTCAACTGACCATGGTGAGCTTTCCTTGCAAATGCAATTGCCTTTTGCACCTGCCTTCACAGATTCAGTACCCTAGTGGCGTTACAGCAGCAAATCACATTGAATGACAACATCAAGTACAAGTAGAGATGGTAAACCTTTTCATGATTAAATATGGGATACCCTGTGACGTCTACACCATCCAGAATGAGAGATCCTGCAGCAAATATACTCGCTCTATTACTTCAATATGATGAATAGATGTGAACAACAAATCGCTATGTAAATAGGTCCGTCGGTAATTTTTCAAGTTTAGAACATAAATAGATGCGGTCTACATTCAGCAACGTTTTCGATGAACAGCAGAAGTTATCGGGCTTACTACTAAGGCCGGCCTAATGAACAAACAAGTGCATATTTTGATTTTTACCTATCAAAATTAAGAACTTTTTTTTTTGCAGTGCAATATTAGTATGAATATTTCAGTTCTAGATGTGCCGAATAATTAATATTGCATGCTACTCACATCAATTACAATTTTCCTACTACTATTCCACTTCACAAATTGATAGCAAGTTAGTACACCATCAGTTTTAAGCTGAACTTTTAAGAATAGATATTCTATTTTTGTGCAAAGATTTGATTCCAGAAAGCATCATATTTTCCTTTATCATACATAACATTAAACTATCAATAAATCAATGGCACAAGATCAACTATTCGACAAAAAGAAGAAAATAAACACTCCATACAGCAACAGAGGATAGATATTAAATTGCCACTGGAATATTTACTAGTTACTAATAAACTATTATAGCAGAAAAACATAAATTTGCTTTAAAAAAAAATTAGTATTCAATATTTAATATTTGACCCAATATCCAAAAAAAATGTTTTTAAAAAAACAATAGCATACCGGGTTGCTCGTCCACTTTAGGCCACAGAAAGTCGACCTTCGTGGAGAGGCAGGCCCCGGAAGCAATCGCCACCGCTGTGACAGCCACTTGGGTAATTGCTGACGTCACCGCTCCATGGACAGAACCTGACCCGGCAGACGCTGCCGCGGCGATCACGTTGCCGGAAGTAAGAATGGGGCTCAAAGACGACAAAACCGCGAATTTCGGAACTATTTGATCCAAAACGCACCGGAATTTCACAGAACCACGTAGATTCCTACCTAAGAAAAATGGGTTTTTGCGTAGAATTGAAGAAGATTTGGGACTAATAAACATCGTGGATGCTGAGGTATGGCATGAAGACATGACTTTTTGTCGTAAATAGTTTGATGTATATCTACAAAAAGAGGGAAAAATTACATGTTGTTGAGAAAAAAAGAATGGAAAGAATCTGAAGAGACGTAAACAGATGAATCTATGTATTACTATAGCATAGTATATGAAAAAAATTATTGTAATGTGGTTGTGAGTTTTTGGAGTGACATGATTTTAATAGAGTGAAATGAGTGGTTGCAAAGGGTGGGAGTTCTTCGAATGGTTGATTGACAGTTATATTTGTTAATATCAGTGTCTATTTATTTTGTGAAATTCTCTATAAAGTTGTATAAAAATGAGTGGACAAGTCGAAACTCATTAAGATTGTTCGTTAAAGGTGCGACCCACGTGTTAAGATTGATTCATTTTGGAAAAGTGAATATTTTATTTTATATTTTCGTCTTACACTTGTTTTTTATCGAAATTTCTATTGAAAAGATGTTTACTAGTTAATTGCCGACAAACTATTAAGATCAATTCATTTTCTTGTTGGGTTAGTCATTCACAACATACAATCAAACATTCCATCAAAGCAAAGCGAACGAGACAAAGTAATTCCTTTAATTTTCTAGGTTAATTAACACAAAACGTCTCTACCTTTGGGGTTGATTTCGGAAATCGTCTCTACCTTTCATTTCTTGGCATTTATGCCCTACCTTCAACATTTTTGTGCGTTGAACGTCCATTTCACATGTTTTTGATGATTTTACCACTCATTCAAATAAAACAAAAAGAAAAAAAAATAATATATGAACAAT